GTGTGTGTGTGTGTGTGTGTGTGTATGTGTGAGAGAGAGAGAGAATGTCTGAATCAGATCATATTTGAGAAGAGGATATTATTTTTTTCTGCTTTGTAGAGTTGTCAGAGCATCACTGTGATTCAGACAATCGGCTTGAGGTTTGTGTACACATTAATATTATTAACTAACACACACGCGCACACACTGTTGTTTTAAATATCTCTATTTTACAATATAAGTACAGTAAAGGTCATCATCACTAGATTGACACTTGTAATGTCAATCAGTTTGCATCAACTTGAGACATATTGTTCTATTTTCTTGAATTTTAGATTACATTGCCAAACAAATATAACAAAACACAATTTTACAGTATTGCAAAATGTTCCCAGCTTTTTCCTCAAAATGGTCTTTCACAACAATAACTAATAATTTAGTCATCTTTGACCACTTTAGAATCACTATAAAGTGTGAACCCCTGTTGTGTGACGATGTTATGTCAACATTGTTTTACTTTTCATCTCATTTAGAATTACAAGATTGGAGAGGCAATATATCGTAAGTTGTTTTAAATTAAGTAACTATTGAGTATATTAAGTTACTGTATTGAGATATTTTACTTAACACTAAAACTTTTCATTCATTCATTCATTCATTCATTCATTTTATTACCTTTTTTTTCTGGAGCCCATTGCCCTTGATGAAACTATTATTTGACATTTTGATAAACACCTGTCATAATCTATGTGATGTGTGGATCTTATTTCTGCATTAAAGAATTATCAATCCACTCTGCATATCACAGTGCTTCAGGGAAGGATCAGCGTAAGGTATGTGTGAATGTCAAATCAAGTCACCTGTATTCATATAGCGCTTTATACAACAGAGATTGTTTTAAAGCAGCCTCACAGTATGAAACAGAATCAATGATGCCAACTTTGAGACAAATATGAAACAAATTTAAATTCTGCTGTAAAGCAGCTCTAATAAGACAATAGTGTCATTATTCAGCTCCTGTAAACTCATCAGTGTTAATTAAGGTTAGATCAATAACTGTGCAAAGTTCAAATATAAAAAAAGTTAAATGAATGAAGATGTCATTATTCAGCTCAATTCAGTTCAATGTTGATTCAGTTCAGTTCAATAACTGCAAAATTTGACAATTATAAACATTTGATTCAGCTATAAAGCAGCTCACAGAGGTGTGTCAGTAGTGTCATAGAAGGCACTTGACTTGACTTTAAATTATAGATATGTGCTAGTGTGTTATGCGTATTGTAGGTTAAAAAGATGGGTCTTAAATCTAGTTTTAAACTGACTGTGCTAAAATAGGAAAATAATCTACTGTCTGCAGTCGATTCTGATATTCTAGTTTTTATCAACTGGCCGCTTATATTATCCTTTTTTTTTTGGCAATGGCTATTTTCAGATCATGTTTCACCTTTTGTACAAATAGCATATAACTTCTCTTTATTTAACTTTTTTTTTTTTTTTTGCATGCTGTAGTATATATTACAGTTTGCACTGAATGTAAACAAGTGTGTGATAATGTTATGTTTAGCCAAAAAAGAAAAAAAAAATCTTATTTGTTTTAATCTAATTTAGGATTACAAGGGAGAAACAGACATCAGTAAGTTCTGGAAATCATTGACTCTTTGTAATAAGTAGTATTTGCATTGCACATTTAAAAATTAACATTTAAATTCATAATTTGTATTAATAGTAGAAGTTCTATGCTAAAAATCACTAATGTAACTGAAAGTATGAAAATAAATAGTTTTGATCTTGCCTTTAACGAGGGTTTACTTTTTATTGGTTATTTTTTCTCTTTGTTATAGAATTATCATCACAGTACATCAAATCAGATCTAAGCCATCCAGACGAGCAGCCTGGGGTATATGACAGTAACTTTTATTCTTGCTGTAGTATTGTTGCCGCCGCCGCCATGTTGTGGTGTGTTTTTGTTGTGAAAGCGAAACTACTTGGTTTGGCCTTCCAGGGAAAATAATGTGTTTTTTTAACCTTAAACCACATAAACAAATTTCATTACACCAAATAATGTTATTTTTAGCAGCGTCATATGACCCCTTTAATAACCTATTCATACAGTAAATATATACACATACAATACATCATAAAATAAATTAAACTGCATTTGTTTTAATCTTAATTAGGATAACAGAATGGGAATCAAAAGCAAAGGTAAGTTGCCTTAAAATCATTGACTTTGTCATCAAATGAGTGTGCATTATTCATTAAAAAGAATTTTGTGATATGATGTTTAAAGACTGCTTTATATGACACCAAATAATTTTTTTATAGATAGAAAATATGTGGGTAATGTTGTGTGTCTGTGGGTAATAATGTGTCTACTTTAAAAGCACATTACTTTGTACCTCTTTTGTCTTTAGGTTAGGGTTATTACATTGCTCTCCCTATATGTGCATATGAACATATGGAGTTTTAAATTTATTTACACATTTCTGTAATATCATATCTCATAATCTGTGTGATATGTAAATCTTATTTGAGAAGTGTGCTTTTTTCTGCTTTATAGATTTTTTGAGCCAAACTTCATATCACAATGAACCAAACGAGAGCCAGCATGGGGTAGGTGCACACATGAATACATTGTGCGATTCATTTATAAATTAAGCATAAAAAAAAATATATATATATCACTCAATAAACACTTTTAATGTTGCACTTCTAAAATAACAAAAGTTTTGCATTTGCTTTCACCTCAATTGGAATGCCAAGATGGAAGTCTTGAACAGTAAGTAAAAAAAACCTTTCTTATTCAACCACAGGAAGTTACATTTTGAGGAGTGTGAGTCCATCGTTTTTCTCTTTTCCTCACAGAGAACTTTCAGCTTTTTGTTCCCAGTACAACAGAAGAACCAGAGTTTTCTTTGGGGTCTGATTTGATTATTCCATGTCATTTGTCTCCTGAAATCAGTGCTGTTGACATGGAGATCAGTTGGTCTAACGATACAGCCCGTGTTTGCCTGTATAAGGACAGGCAGGTGACAGAAGGGGTTTTGTTCAAGGACAGAGCGAGTCTGTTCAGTCACAAGCTTAGGGAAGGAAATGTGTCCTTACGACTGAAAAACTTCAGGCTGTCAGATATCGGAAATTACCATTGTCAGGTCATCAGTAAAGACAGAAGAGAGAAGATAACAGTAAGAGGTGAGAAGTCCTCTACTTCAGATCAGTGTGCTCATTAATAATGTCACATCAGAACGAATCTGAACTGAAACAGAAATCTAGAGGTGTGTTAGATCCTCATCAGTATGTGATCGGTAAACTGTTCTGAAACTAATATATATGGGCATATTTCAGCTTTATCCAATTTACTTGTTATAATTTTCACTGGAACATTTAACCAATTTGAATGAAAATTAATCTGAAATGAATCATTCATCTCACAGGGACTATATAAAACAGTGAGTTTGAGTATTCTACATGAATAGTAAGAGATGTAAGTGCAAAAAAACGACCAATAATCATGTTTGAATTTTGCAAGGTAGACGATAACAAATGCTCTTTGAAAATCATCAGATGAAATTGGAATATTAGAACATTAGTATATTAGAACAGGAAACTGCATTGAATTCTTGGATGCAAACATGTAGTATTCATGCCACTTAGATGTCTATTAGTTAAGTTATCTAAGAACATAATTTCCATACAAACCTATTTACACCTGAGTAATGTTTTTCTTAGTGAGGATAAATCCTGGTGTGCAGTCTATGAGTCAGTCACCAATATTTCCAGAAGGAAATGAGGTAAGAAAACAACTTTTACCTTCACATTATCCATTGTAAATTATCCTTCAAATAATATCAAACTAATCTTATGAATTTAATATTGTAAAACAATTTAGAAACTGCCTTTCAATAATCAGCACCCTTCCTGCAGATCTTCTTTCTCTCTCATTAAAATACTAAATAGCTAAATTGCAAATTTGCTTAATGTAATAGTAACCCTAACATATAAAAACAATGAAACTTATTATTATATCAACTGTAAATATAGTTGCAAATACATTGTTAAACCATTAAATCTCAATTAGGATGAAAGGACAAGAGAACCAACTAACAGTAAGTTGTCTTAAAATATCTGCTTTGTAATTTATATTCTTTTGTAATCTAAGTTTATATGTATATATGTATATATATTGTGTATGTGTGTGTGTGTGTGTGTGTATATAATCCACTGTGTGGCACACAAATTAGAGCTAGCCGTGCTGGAGAGTGTGAAAGGCTGTGAGTTAGGGCTGTCAAAATGACTGAAAAACTAAATTCGAATTTTCTACTTAAATATTATCAAAATTCGATTTATATTCAATTTAAAAGGCATAATTTCAGTTAGGGGGAAAAAAAGCTTTTGGCTTCTCTCCTGAGGCCACAAGAGGGCACATCGAGCAAAATATTATGCACGTTTCTTCAAAGCGTAATAAAATAACACGACTATCTTTGAAAAAAAGTGCATAATGTTTAAAATAATGTTTATAAACCATATATAATTAATAAAGTTGCTTAAACAATTAGAAGAAAAAAAACAGCACCATGCATTTATGTATAGTTTAATATAAAAAAAAATTCAGTGAAGGTGTTTGATCATAAAAAAATCAGGAAATACCTGTAAAATAAAAGTGTTTTCAGCTTATTTAAATAAGGAGATTTTACTTTAATTTTATGGTTTTTGTTTGGCAGCTGTTGCTACCAGTCATTTGACCATTTTATCATCTAATGGTTTTGTTATTGTATTAATTACAGATTATTTTTGTAATTTTAAATACATTTGTTTGTAATTTAAGAAAACAGAAAACATACTGTATAAAAATACAGTAGTTTTTCTGCATAAAAAATTTGAATTACTGTAATTTGTCATTAATGTCATAATACTTAAAATAACAGCCAAGTAGTTAATTCAGAGATAATTTTACAGAGTTTTGACTGCAATTCAAAATAAAAGAAAACAACCTGAAAAAAAATCACAGTTATTTTCTGTAAAATTAAGATTTTTTTTTACAGTGTAGGTAATAATATCGATATTGATATAGGTAATAATATTGATATTGATATTGATATAGGTAGTTGTCACGCCCCTGGACTCTTTGTGTTGTGTTTTCCCTCCCCAGGTGTGCCGTGTTCCCTTTAATTAGTCATTCCTTGCACCTGTGTTTTCCCAATCACCCAGTGTTTAAAAGCCCCAGTCCTTTCAGTTAGTGTTTGTCGGTCCTCGAACGTCATTCCATGTGTTCCTGTGTCTCCTACGTTCCCCGTGTGATCATTAAAGACTGTGAATTGAAGTATCTCCGTGTTTCCTCGTTCCACGCTCCTTACCTCCCGAGAATTGTGACAATATATAGTATTGTTACATGTGTGGAACTTTTTTGTGAAGAGTGTTTGAGTGTTCTTGTTTTTCATTGTGTTTATATTATTCATTATAGAATTATCAAGGCACACTTCACATCAAAGCGAATCAGATGAGAAACAACATGGGGTAGGCTATGTGTACACATTAATACTGTCCATAAACTGACGCCGTTGTTTTATATTGTATGGTTTAGGTTTTCACACCATTCATTGCTTAATAAATGAAGTATAAATAAATTTAATATTCATTCACCCAAAATGTTCTTATACTGCATATTGTTACATTGCCAAAACTGGCTTTATGTTGTGACTCTTTCATAAAGAATCACTGTGAAATATATTCTTGGATGTTATGTTGGAAGAAGTCTAAAATCTCTTCCCTGTTTGTTTTCGCTAAATTAGAATTACAGCAAGAGCGTATCTGGTATGTTGTCTTAAAACACTTCATTGGTTTTATTCATTCTAATATTTTTGACCTACCAATTTTTGTGTAGTGTTTGTGTAAGTAAAGGTGAAAGTTGTAATGCATGTAAGACCATCTTTCTCTCTTTTCCTCTCAGATGATTTTCAGCTTGTTATTCATCAAACATCTCAAGAAGCACAGATTTCTATGGGGTCTAAAATCATTGTTCCTTGTCACTTGACTCCTGAAATCTGTGCCATTGCCATGCAGATCAAATGGTTTAAGGAGACAGACTGTGTTTGCATCTACAAGAACAGACATGTGATTGAGGGGAGGAACTACAAAGACAGAGCGAGTCTCGACACTCACGTACTGCAGAGAGGAACTGTGTCCTTACATCTAAATAACTTCAGTGTCTCAGATGTTGGTGATTACTATTGTCAGGTCATCAGTGGAGACAGAACACAGCAGATTACAGTAGGAGGTGAGTATTCTGCAGGTCCATACTACATCAGCCCAGAGTGCTAATTAACAATCTTTTGTCAGAATGAAGTAAACTGAAACCGTGTTTTTCAGCATAAAGAAACTGCATGGTATGCATTTTTATTTTAAGCTGTATTATAGTAAAGACACTTATAGAAGCCCAATCCTAAGTTAATTAGTGTTTTAGGTAGTCATCTAAGAGGATAACTTGGGTATCTAAGATCACAGATTTCACACAAACCTATATTCACACTTGAGTTATCATCTTCTTAGTGAGGATAAAACCTGAAGTCCAACCTGCAAGTCAGTCACCAACATTTCAAGGCCAATCTATTCAGCTATTACTGTTTGAGGTAAGAAAGCCTACAGGTTAATTCATTTAATGTGACTGCACTGTACCTTCAAAAGTTGTTTGACAGAAAAATATTTATGATGTCTGGTCTAAATATTGCCAGATATGTCAAGGATATCAGATCATTTTATATGGTTTAAACTTGACACTCATAACAAGCATTTAGTGAGTTAAGTAAGACCAAAAATACTTTTTCTACAAAGTCAGTTAAAAAAAAAAACTATAAAATGAAATTGTTTATTTATACAGCAGAATGAGATTTTTTATTTATTAAATTAATGTAGTATGTTAATACAATAATGTATTAATCTCAACAAATAAATTAAAGAAATTATTTACCATGTTTTCATATCTAGTTTGTATAACTTCTGTAAGACCATTTTCTTCAATTTACAGATAGATAAAATATGGACTGAAGAGGAGACAATTGAAATGGATGAATCTGCTTTAATGTCAGGTGAGTGTAATTGAAGTGTCATTTCACCACGTGTATGAAAGATTTAGACCCAAGAAACAGACTATTCTTTCAGATACTGGAACAACAATTAAAAACTATTAATATATGACTATAAACATAACCGGTCATTATTTATTTTTTCAGAAATGAAAGTGAACAATATGCAGCAGCTTCATCAAATGATGATCAGGGCTTACAGAGAAGGTTGTCTCAATTGGAGTTGAAAGAGACCAGAATGGACTTGGACAGAGTCTTAAGACTCAACCCTCATTCTCAGTTGTTGGAGAGAGACCAATAAAATCCCTTTTTAATAGCTACCTATAACATACAAATGTCAGGTTGATGCTTAATGCCTTATCTTAATTTCATGAAATGTATTGCAATCAATATTTCAGATTTTTTTTAAACTCCAAAAATACATATACATTAAGGCATGACATCATGAAGAAGATAAGTGTAATTACAATGAATTTACACTGTACTTAATGTATATTTGTAACCTTCCACAAACTAAAATAAAGCAGCTTCATAAATGCTCATTTATTTAGAAATATTCTATAATGAACCATGCCCTTATAAAAGTAGGATTTCTTTATTCGACAACTGATTTGCAACATTCTTTTCTGTGTCTTCCTGTGTCACATACATATTTAGGCTAAAAATTGAAAAATCTGAATGATTAAAACGCACAAAGAATCATGTACAGCTACAAGAAATATATATATTATACAATTTTATTAAAGTTTAAGTTAAAAGGAATCAAGACTGTGGACCTTGAAAATACAAAACATTCAAAAGTCATTTTCTCAAAATCATTTTCAATTGAGCAAATGTGAAATGATCCAGTTTTTTTTTTTAGGCAGAGAGAATTCTATTATGATCACTTGGTGTCATCATCACTATATATATATATATATATATATATGATTGTGTCAAAGCAGCTTTACAGTGTCGTCAAACAGGAAAATAGTTTGTCAATAATGCAAGAAGACAATAACAAAGAGTCATTATTCCAGCTAAAGCCAGTTCACTGATGATTCAGTGATGTCATCATCCAGTTCAGCTCTCTTCCAATAGTGTCTGTACAATCAGTTAAACGTCCCCAACTAAGCAAGCCAAAGGTGACAGTGGCAAGGAACCAAAACTCCATCGGTCAGAAATGGAGAAAAACCTTGGGAGAAACCAGGCTCAGTCGGGGGACCAGTTCTTCTCTGGCCAGACGAAACCATCATGGTGTGGTTTAATTCCAGGCTGCAACACCGGTCAGAAAACTGAGAACTGAGAGAACTGTCAGGAGACTTATTTAATTGCCCAAAAGGAGACAGTGGTACAAGAGGACTACCAAATCAATGTTTTCAATCAAAGTGTGAAAATATAGCAAAAGTAACACCGAAATTCAAAAACAATGTACTTGTGACAAGGCCCCTGAAATAATCAGGCCTTCACTTTAAGCTTTCATTTAGTGATGAGTGATTATTTATTTATTTTTTGCTGGAAAAGGAGCAGGAGAAATACCAAGCAAGTGTCTCAAAAGCTATGAAAAGACAGTTTATCTCACAGAGTCAGATGCAACCTGCATAAGTGACATGCATGGTGGTTATCCACACTGGAACTACCTACTGTAGCCTTAAGCTCTTGTATGAGATGGATGTATGAGTGCTGAAGGTGAAAGGGAGTTGTGCTTTACCAATGCTGTCATGAATTCACACACCACTGTGTGGTGTAATACAAAAACTTGAAACAGAAGGTGTTACCCTCTTCTCATTCCATGCATTGTTGGGCATTTTTTCAATATGACAATGACAATATGCATTATTCCAAGGTGAAAATCTATCAGTGGGCATGTATTTCACATCAATCTTAACACTCTTGAGCACCTGTGGGGGATTCTGTAGAGACGAGTTGAGCAACACTCCCCATTAAAGACCAGGGGTGCATTTCCCAAAAGCAACTATGGTCTCAAGTTCCATTGTTACTGTAACGTAGTTCAGTTACCAATAGAGTTCAGTGGAACTTGTGACCATAGTTAGCTAACAATGCTTTTGGTAAACGCAGCCCAGGGCATTAAAGATCACTATCTTAACAAATTAAGCCATATTAAGTGTTTATGGTTTTCTACGGAGGTTTAAAAGTGCTTAATGAGAGACTTTGCGCATTGCATTCATATTCTGCTGTTCTGTGGCCACGGATTTGCGGGTCTAGTCTTTTTCTCTTACAGATGACTTGCAGGATCCTGTATGTTATAGTACTAAATTAGTTTTAATAATTTAACCACCACAGCGTCTTGTCTC